TAACTCTATATCATAGAGTTATCAGTGATGCCTCTATTAATGACTTTGGTTGGTGGATTGATTCGTTTTCTTTTCACCCTCTGTGTCCTCATTTCATGTTAAATCCCACATTGATGTATAGTATTTAACAAGAAATCCTTAGGTGAGAAATTAATTGATGTGCTTTGAGCATTTGAACTAAGTTTTTGAGCTTTAAAAGTCATGTTTTAATATTTAAAGACAATTTAAAAAGTTTGAGATTGAAAAGAGTCTAATTAGACATGTTTTTAATGTTTATTTTTGCTTATTGGAGCTTATTTATCAATAGATATTCTTCATCTATTGATAAATACAATCCAGAAAGGTTTTTCCAAAGCTACCTTGAAGAACATCTATAGAGAGGTGACCAAATCTATCCATAGATAACCAGATCTATCAACAAATGTCTCCCATCTATCGATAGAAAACAACCAGAATGCTCTTAAAAATGCTTTGAAGCCCATTTATCGATACATAGTCCCGATCTGTCAATAGATGACGTCGTTTTTACAAATAAAAGGGGTAAAAGCATATTTTCACTTCTTAAACTATAAATACCTCGCTTTCACTTATGGTTGTCAACTCTCAGCCAATTTTTAAAGGTAATTTGTCCTTTCTAAGGCTCTCTCAACTTATTTTTCACTCAAACCACTATTTTTGAAAGATTTGAGCTTGGTTTTGAGTTTTAAAAACAAAAGTGATATTTTTCACTCTTAAAACCTTTAAACCTTGGGTTTTTAACTCTGAAAATATTCTGTATTGTTTTAGATTTATTGATTTCTACAAACTAAAGGATTTTATGGATTCTCTCATTATTTAGAGCTTACATAAGGTAAGGATGATGGATTTAGAAATTTTTTGCACTTGGGTATTTGTAAAATAGTGAGTTTAAGCTAGAAATTTAGTTGTAGATGAATCAACTAATTTTGAAAGGCTTAGTTAGAATATTACGTGATTTGTAGATTAAGGAATAATTATTATGATTATTGAATGTTTAGGAATGAACGAAACTCCACAGGGAATGTGGTAAACATGAAAGTTGTGGATCTACCTCATGGCTTTCCAATGGTCTAATAATCACGTCATTTTGACTTTTGTAGTGAGAGAAACACTCAAAATATCACAACATGTGCACCTAGAATGCACTTTCCTACTCCAATTAAAAGTCCTTCAAAGCACACTTACAAAAGCACAATTTAATCAACAGCAGTTTTTCTTAAGTAATTTAACATCTAACTTAGCCTAAAATAATCTAAATTCAATTGACCTAATATAATTAATTAAAATTAAATAAATAACTAAAAACATCTAAAATTTATGCTAAAACTCAAGAACCTAGCAACTTAACAGCTAAAATTAAGACCAAAAAACACTATATCATAGAGTTATCAAAGACATTTCTTTGAGTTTAAGAGCATAATCATTCACATCCAAAGCATGTTCAATCAATCTTAACATCTCAGTTTATCTTTCTCTTAAATTCAACTTCAAAACATCTTTGAGGATTTTCTTCATATTCAAAAGTATCTTTCATTCATTTTCAAAGCTCATTAAGTTCAATCAATTTTGTCAGTTCAAAAAAAAAATAAAGTTAACAAAGACAAATATATTTTCTTATCTAAATTAAGACAAACATGTTTTTCTTGTCTTAATTAAAACAAACATGTTTTCTTCTCTAATTGAGACAAGCATGTTAAGTTAGCAATTTTGTACATAAATTTAAGTATCAAAATAAAACTTCCATTCTACCTTAAATAAGTTGAATTCTACAAAGCTAAGTAGAAAATCTATTTGGATATAGATATTTCAAGCTCTAATAAACTCAAAATTATTTGTTATCTCATTAAGATAATTCAAGTTTATTAACAATGAAATCACACTACCATTGATTCATGGTTGCACTTTTGGATTAACTACAATTATAAGAAATGATCAAATATTTAATATTGGTTGTCCAATTGCAAACCTTATTTTGCAAACCCTCACAATCATCCAATGACAAAAGGTGAAATTACTATTTTAATGTGTATGTCAATTTTATCCCCTAGTCTCATATTTCATTCAATTGGTGATCCCATACTCTAGACCTAATCTTTTGAGTATCAAGATGTGATGAATAGCTAATTCATCTGTCCACTGGGCTCAAATTAATCACTAATTTTCTTGAATTCACTAAAAGTGATGTTAATGCTACAAACTGCACTTTTTGGATATATGTTCCTAAATGTTCAACTTAATTATAATCCTAAAATATGGAGTCTAGATCAACGCAATATAATGATTATACTCATGGTATATCAAAGATTATAAAGAGATAAAATGTAAGTTCTCTATCCATCAAGATTTCGGTTCTACCATAAATGAATACATAAGTGTGAGATCAAGATTGAAGTGATAGTTAAACTTAAACTTGATTCTCAATGATTCCAATTTAAATTATAGTGTTATTACTCAAAGTCAACTACTTTGATGATTTTAGGCTCATCATTCCCTTGTTAGTGAATTGCATTTCTTACGTTGAAAGTAATCTAGACATACAACCTTAATATAATTAAATAAATAGCTTTATTATATGGCTGTGAATAATTTTTAGATTAAATTAAAATACATGTCTCCTTTGTATAACTTTTCATACAAATGATACCTTTATAACTAGAAAATAAATACTTACTTAAAACAAACTCTTTATTTTATTATCAAAATGCACTTTCATTCCAAATAAAATAAATAGAATTAAACATGAGAATATACTTACTTTCCAAGGCACTACATTCTTAAATTCCAAACGAGGACTACATTGACGAAAAACCTATAGTATATGGACTCGATTGTACAAAATCTTAGAATACATGGACTAAATCAATCAGTTTTGAAATAGAGGGACTAAATTGATGGAAAAACCTATAGTATAGGGACTTATGGGGTACTTTGATCGATAAAGAATACATTATCCTAAGTGATTCTCAAGGAGATATCCCATTACTTCTTGGCATGTTTTAACTCATGCAAATCCTTAGCCAAGGTAGAATGAATATTTAGAAGAAGGGTTTTTTTTTTAATTTCATTAAGGAACTAAGTACAAGTTTCAAGAGTTAAAATGATAATGACAATAATTGAGTAGGCATTAAGTCATGCTGTATGTCTTATTGGGATATTAGATGATGAAGGATCAAATTATATCGATAGATTAGCACTAAAGGTTTGAGCCAAACCTCTTTGACTCCTTTGAACATTGATAGACAAATATAAATTAATTAATACTATCAAATTTAAGAAAGGTATTTTTTAATAAAAGTCATTCAGTATGATAAGAATTTTTATTTATAAGTTGGATTAATCTTATTAATATTTATAGTAAGAAACTTTTAAAATGTAAATTTAGATATATAATGAACAAATATGCTTGCTTAGTTTGGTCGTTTAAAAGTTTTACAAACATTGATGCTTTTTTATATATTGTAGATATTAGAATTATTTGAAGTTATTGGGTTTTATCATGAAAAGGTTTTTTAACGAGGCTTTTTCTACATAACGTTAGAGTTGGCAAGGGTTAGAGTTAAGCTATTTATGTCAAGTAAGAGTATGCCTCATCGTATCAATGTTTTTGGTGATTAATGAAGTTTTTCACCTGAATTATTATAAAAAAAACAAAAAAAATGAAATTAAAAATGATTTATATAATATATTAATAATTTGCTCTCTCAAAAAATATAAATGGTTTTTGATTTATTAATATTTACTTTTTATTTTTATTGCATTGACTATTATTAGGGATTCACCATGAATTATGGTTACGACATACGAGGTTAACAATATATAATATCTATTAAAGGTGAAATAGATTAATATGCTTGAGAATGGTATCCAATTAGCTTTATTGTGAATTTTTATTAGTTTATGAATTATTTTTTCTAATTTATTTTTATTATATATTTTATTAATTAGTAAGAATGAAAAATGATGGATAAATAGAAACGAAAAAATTTATGTATGATGTATAATTATAAAAAAATGAATCCCATTATAATAATTTAAAAGAATTTATTTTTTACCCTTTTTTAAATCACAATCAGGATATTGGAACAAATCAAAATTATGTAAAAGTTAAGAAAACAAGAGTTAAGAAAAGAGATTTTATATTTCTTATAATCTAATTTTTAAGTTACTTATTGATTAATATTTAATGCTATATTTATAATAATTAATTAAATTAATAGTTTATAAAAGATAAATATGAAAGAGAATGTATGTTTTTATTATCTCTTAAACTTAATAATAAAGTAATAATTTTTGTTATATTTATTAATTTTAATCAAATTAATATTTAAATAAAAAATAACATTATACTAAGTTTAAGTTTGAGCCACTTGAGTTTGATTGGTTTCGATTTTGGGTTGTTAACTTTTTCAAATCAAATCGGATTCAAACAAGTTTTGTTTGTGTTTGACATGATAACTGAAAAATAAATGAAAAGAAAGAAACTAATGATAAAATTATAAATAAAATAACTAATTTAATAAAAACCATAATTAACTATTTTATTCCATTTAAATATATGATTGGTTAAGATAATAGAAAATTATCCAAATAATTCTTTCGAATGGCAAAGAAGAAAAAACTCTTCCATTATATATATACTGATATTCTTACGAAATCATAGATCACTAGAAGCCTCAAGTTCTGAATATCCAAAAATGGAGAGAAAGCAAGGAGACCAAAATTTGACCTCTGAGGGGCAGTGGCATCCCTCCTTTCCCTCTCTACGTCTCATTTCTCTCTTCATTTTTGGATGTCTAGTCATTGTATTTAAACAAACCCTCTGCTGCTAATCTCAACCTTTTTAGCTTCAAATTGGCTTTAAGAAATAGTTTAGTGAAAAAGAACAACAGCCTACGTGCAATGGCACTGACTAAGCAAAAAATGGTTTAAAATTTCATCATGTAGGGTTCAAGAATCAAGATACCAGGAAATTGTGCAAAACTTTTTTTTGATATAAAAAAAGCAAGAATTATAGAGGTAATTACTATGAAAGTTGTCAAGACCATATTGCTATTGGGGCTTGTTCTTGTTGCAGTTAGTCCAATTGTGAAGGCCAACATTGGTGAATTTGATGAGGTGTGGCAAAAGCGAGCTGAAGAAGCAAAGAAGGCTGCCCTGCGAGCCTATGAGCCCAATCCTGAGAAAGTAACCGATCATCTCAACAAGGAAACTGGCAAGTAAGCTTTTTATTCTTCTTTTTTCCTTGTTTTCTAATATCATGCAGGTATATCTCTTCATTTTTTAACCCCCCCCCCCCCCAAAAAAAAAAAACTAGTGGTGGAATTAACGTGATTACTATCAGATGTCTAAGATTCAGATTGGTGTCTTCAGGCTTAGAACACACATTAATAAACAGTAAGACATATAATGCATGTTTCCAATTTCTTGCTGTTTATCTTTTTCTTATGCAGGGCCTTGAAAGGTTCCAATAGCACAAGGAGAAACCTAGGCAGATACCGTGGTCCGTGCCTAGCCACAAACCCTATTGACAGATGCTGGAGATGTGATCCCCACTGGGCTGAAAATCGCAAGAAGCTAGCTACCTGTGTCCTGGGATTCGGCCGCAGGACCACCGGGGGCAAGGATGGTAGATTCTATGTAGTCACGGATCCATCAGATAATGATATGATAAACCCTAAACCTGGAACCCTACGTCATGCTGTCATCCAGAAGGAACCTCTTTGGATCATATTTGCCCATGACATGGTGATTAGACTAAATGAAGAGCTGATTATGACTAGTAACAAGACCATTGACGGCCGCGGGGCTAATGTGCATTTCTTCCGTGGTGCTCAAATCACTCTGCAGTACATCCAAAATGTCATCATCCATGGCATACACATTCGTCTGTCGGTGGAAGCCAATGGCGGCATGATACGAGACTCGGTGGATCATTTTGGTTTTCGTACCAAGAGCGACGGTGATGGGATCTCAATTTTTGGATCCCACAATATTTGGATTGATCACGTCTCTATGTCTACATGCTCTGATGGATTAATTGATGTTATTCAGGCATCCACGGCCATAACCATCTCCAATTGCCACTTCACTCATCATAACGAAGTAATGCTACTCTCAAGGCTTACAATGATATCCTTTTTTGTGAATGTTTAACATGAGTCTGAAATTGGTACTCAAGTGCATGCATGCTTGGCTTGCAAACGTACAGGTGTTGCTGTTTGGAGCAAGTGATAGCTTCTCAGATGATAAAATCATGCAAGTGACGGTTGCTTTCAACCATTTTGGCCGAGGATTGGTGCAAAGGATGCCAAGGTGCCGATGGGGATTCATCCATGTCGTCAACAACGATTACACCCACTGGCTTATGTATGCCATTGGCGGTAGCAAGCAACCTACCATCCTTAGCCAGGGCAACAGATTCATTGCTCCCCCCAACATCGCCTGCAAGGAGGTACACTGCCTAACATGTATTATCAAATCCATCAAAAGCAAGGCTTTCTTGTTTTACAATCAAAATGGTCTCACAAAGAAACAATGTTTGACATGCAAATGTAAAGGAAAGAAATCTTTTTGCATGCCTGTCATAAGAAAGCGTTTGCTTCTGTACAAATTTATGATCTTGTGTCGATATGGTGCAGGTTACCAAGAGGGAGTATGCGCCAGAGAGTGAATGGAAGTCATGGAACTGGAGGTCTGAGAATGATCTTATGATGAATGGGGCATTCTTCGTTCAATCTGGGAGCCCAATCAGCAGGGGCAACAGGCAAGATGTGATCAAGGCAAAGCCTGGGACATTTGTAACCAGGCTCACACGCTTTTCAGGCGCTCTCGACTGCTTCAAAAACAAGCCATGTTAATCGGCGTTGTACACCATAAACTGAACCAACCACAAGCTGCAGCTAGTAAATGACGGAGAGGAATAATATGGCCTCACCAATCTAGTTTTCTACTTTAGGGCTATTTCCATGGCACAAGACCCTTGATGGAATTGCATATACTCTGTATATATATAGTAATTTTTTACCAATTGGTACGTTAAATTCTTCCCCTTAGTGGAATTTGCTTCACTCTGTAACATATTCTCTTCTTTTTTTTTTTGGCATTTCATTCAACAAGAACTAGTGAAATATATAATTAACATCAGCAGGTCATATAGCAGCTGTTTGGAGAAGAGGGTTGGTACCAATCAGCAAATGTCCTAATTCCTAAACAAAATGAGCTTTACCTGCCAACTAAGCAAATTGAGGAAGTGAGAAGAATCAAAGCTGCTCCTTTCATTTTCATCCCAAGCTCCTAAACCCGAAGCCAGTTAAAAACGAAGACGTTGGCAGTGTGGTTCATTATCCAAATGATAAAGAAATTTCTCTAGTAAACATGCTCTGCTTGTTTAAACTTGAAATAGAGTCAATTTATGAGATAATTCAAGTCAAAGCAGAAGGAAAGGAAGATGCCAAACAACAACATCCAGAGAGAATTTTCCATAAGGACCTCCAGAAAATACTGAAGGAATAACTCACTCAGGGTAGATAAAAAGTATCATCCTGGTTATCAGTCCTTATATCCAGGAAGAACATGACATCATGGTCATATTCTAGAATACCAAAAAGGACATTTACATGCGGAGAAATAACCAAGAAGACTAGCAATCTGTAGAAGGAATGATTACATTTAATCACGTTATGCTAACAAATAAAATTTCAAAAATTTCAAGTAAAGTAGATTCATGAATGTTACTGATACATCTACAATGACAAAACCGAATAGCCTGCATCACGCTTTCCTATGTATAAATCAACTATAGGAAACAAATTAGAAGTCTCGGTTGAAACAATTTGCCAATATTTGTTGTTGGTTGTGCTGCCACTCAATCTTGAATTGAAGCAACGCAAACCAGAAATGTTTCCACGAAATAATAGGCACCAAATGAACCACTTCAATGTTTCTTACCTTCCATAGCAGGATTGAATTTCTTCTGCCCATTATTTTGTAAAAGCAAATAAGCTCCAGAAATAATGTACTTCACCCCAGTCTTCAGAGCATGAACTGTAGTATTATCATGTCATCAATCTTGCAGGTAAACTTCTTATGAAAACCTATAGTCCTAGCGTACTTGTTATGCAAGAAATCATGCCAAGAAAAAACAAGAGAGAAAGCAAGAAAGAAACAAATCCACAGATGTGTTGAACCATATACTTTTACCAAAATCACTAACCTTGTTAATTGATAGTCTCCAAATTCTCAAATATTCATCGCCAAGGAACCTTGACTTGAAGCAACTTGGTGAACTGCAGAAGAGGAAGCTTTTAAGACCAATTCCCACAATGACCTAGAATGAAGAGTAAGGGGAGAGGTGTGGAAAGACACACCCCTTTCCGCAACATTTACACTATGGAAAGAGGTTGAGTTTGCATATATTATAAATTTATAATACAAACATAAGCTTCAAAAGGCAGAACGGATATAGGGGTATGCTATGCACATCCATGTGGAAGCACCTATATAACTGCATCTGAATGCAAAAACTATTACTCTCACCTGAGATGTCTTGAGTTCTAGTTCATCCCATTCTAAAGAGGGATTGCTTCCTTCTACTATCCCTGTTCCAGCGTATATCAATGCACCAAGATCCTAAGAACTTAAACTGGTCAGAATTATTTTGGTAATAGTAATTTTATGTTAACAACATATATAAGAGCTCTTTGAATACAATTTAAATTGCATTAGTGGCTCACTCAAAAAGTAAACACATAGGCTGATGATCTTGCTTGTGATCACCAAGAAGAAAAATTTTAATATAAAATATTATGAAGCTTTAATGATGCTTTCGCGCTCACCTTTTCCACTAGTGCTGACCTTATACCAACAGCAAATTCACTTTCACCTCCACCAAACCAACCAACTGGTCCAGCAAACATTCCTCGGTCAAACATTTCTGAAGAACAAAGTTGAGGCATCAAAGTTTAACAAAATAGTAGCAGACAAACATTAGTTTAAAGAGAACATTAATTGGTAGCCTATTTGCCTGCTCAAATATGGAAATAGTTGCATTTCCTTTCAATATTGATGCCCAATTGTTGAAATACATAGTTTCTTCAATATCAGTATGGCAAAGTGGGAGAACAAAACATTTTATCAGAAAATAAATTCACAAATCTAAAGGGAGCAATGGGCACTAATCTTGGTGTTACAATTGAAATCAGAACAACAACAAATCATGCTTCTAGAATGTTCATAGTATGAACCTCCAAGAAAGAACCATTGCACCAATTTTTAAAAATCTATGCCAAGAGCAGACTATCAAAAACCACCATTCCAATAATAACACACTTTTAGAAGTTGATCATGTAGATTCCCTCTAAGACAGTAATATTTTCTGATAGCATACCTCCAAAAGAAACTAGCTAACAAGTGTAAGAGCTGAGAACCAAAGTAGCAAGGCATAGTCAACTGAGAATCACTACTGTTTTTGTTCTTATTCTTTTAGTTCCATATCTAGAAGAAGCCACATCCTCAAGAAACCATCTTTTGTTTTTCCTAACTCAAGAGAAGAATTCAGGCTCTTTATGAGCACATAATCATGGCAGTTAATCTCTGAGAACTTTAGTCATTTATTAGAAGGTTTATTTTCCTACAAATTCAACCATGCAATTAGAGAAAATCATAGAACATAAAAGAAGGCTTTGAGGGAAAGCAGGGCACACCATGTTTTCTCTTCTGTTAAAAACTAATCCAAATATTTCCATATTTCCTATAATCAATCTAAGCTTTTAAGACAGATTATTTTCTCTAGAGTTTTAAACATCTAAGGTTTTGAGACGGATTCTTTTGTCTAGAGCTCTAAACAATAAAATAAATGAAGCACAAGCTGTTAAACAGAGTCTAAGTTATCTTGTCAGAAAAGAAAAGGGGAAAAAAGACAATTTCTCAGGAAGAACAAATAAAGACATATTATAATATATATAATATTACCAGTTTCTGAAATGAAAAGACGTGCAGTTTCTGTTGGAAATCCACAAACTGCTGGGGTTGGGTGGAGAGAAGACAATATTTCAAACTGCACAGAAACATTAAAAACAGAAACGATATCTCATAATCAGAATTAGAGACAATCTACCATCCAGATCCCTGATAAATTAAAAGTCTATATCTGGAAACTACTACATTCTAGAATCAAGGAAATTTTGAGCATGGAACTACAAAGAACAGTTTATGAAACAGATAGACTAGAGTATGGAACTAAAATATATCTTATAAGTACTCTGAAGGAATTTTCATTATTTGCCATATGAATATTATAATATTTACCTCATCATCTTCCCTTTTCAGGTTACCAGCCAATTGGGCAAATAAATGTTGAATTCTTCGAAGCTTTCGTACTGTTTTCTTTGGCTCGACAACAACTCTGTCACATACAGACTGCAAAGCAGAAAACAGTAAAACAATAATTTTTTATCCCTCTCTTTATTCTTTATTATTAAGGGTAAAATAATATCTAAAATGATGCTTTTCATTCTGACTCTTTGAGGCTTGATGTTCTATATATTTTATCAACATATTTAATAAAATATAACAGAAAATCTTTTGATTTAAAGTTTTAAGGATATGTAATATTTTATCAACAATGGTTCCAGATAAGCCGAGATATGGCATGACAATTTCACATCGCCACTATGTCAGTAAAAATCATGGTTTAAAGAAAAGGGTAGCTTCTCATAATGGCATCACCACTGCCATGCCCTTATCATGAGACCACTCAAACAGTGGTAATGTTTCCATCTTTGACATTAGGTGACATGTTTAAATGCAGCAGACATGATATGTGACAGAATTGGCAAGTGAATCAACCAGAATGATCCTAAAAAGGAATTTTAGCTACAAACAAATCTTAACTGTTAGGAAGAAATATATTTCTCTGCCTAGAAAAACAATGCATTTGACAATTTGAGATTATAGAAGAAAACTTGCCTCTAATTTGTTTTGTATGCTTTCTCGTACTATAGTAAACTCCAGATGGTCCTTGGGACTAAATGACATGCACCAAGACAAGATATTAGTTTGGTGGTGTCACAAACAAAGTGATAAAAAGAAAATTATATGAGTAATGTAAAAAGGCATTCAACAAATGAAAGTTTGGTAAATAATTTAGAGTAATGAAAAGAACCTGGAAAGTAGGTCATGCTCTATTTGAAGATCAAGAGCTCTGGATCCACCTCTAGCACGGGTCCCAGCCAGAGCCTCACTACTAATGCTTAGCCATTTTCTGTGAAATAGTTGCTCTGGCTATTCACAAAAGTTTGTATAAGTCAAAGCAAGAAGAAACCTCATAAAAGTTGCATCTTAAGAAACTTTTGATGCTCAAAGCAATTCAAAGCAGCCTAAGTTCACCTAGGGGAGAGATAGGTTACAAATTTCCAGTTTGCTGCATCATTGCTTCATGTACAATAATACCTCACACCAAAAAACCTCTTATCAAATCAGAGAAGGAAAGGAAGAAAAATTCTGAGCAGCCATGGCATCAGGTCCAGGAAGTTCAACAACAGCGTTTATTAGTGTCAGACAACAACAGTGAATATGAGGACAGTGTTAATTATGGTCAATTATCAGTTTGCAAAGGGCATAAACTATTTGGAATCAATAAAAGGAGGTCCAATTCGATGAAAAATCCGAGAAGAGTATGTGTGTTGTAAATAAAAATTAAACATGGAATCTATTATCAACAGCAGTGGAGTAGAAAGTGGAAAGGAGTGTTAAACACTTCACAAACTTTACTTTCCTTTTACCTATCCTTAAACTTCAGTCATGTTAATCTCAAAAGCATACCCATCAAATACTATGCAAAATTCATCTTAGCAGGAAAGATATTGGACAAACATTTTGTTAAAGGTAAGAAGAAAATATGATCATAAAAAGTACAGAAAAAAGCTGCGGAGTAGAGAAGAGTTCTGTATTGCACGATGAGATCTGCTGTCACACTTACCGTGTTTCCTATAAATGCTGGCGCATTAGGTGGCTGAAGACAAAACTGATAAGCATTTTCTCCTTCAACCTGCAGAACTATGGCTGAATAACAATTATCTTAACTTGATGTTACAATTTAGAGGAGTGAGAAAAGAAAAGAATACCTGCAGACAAGCTAACCATGTTATAGGATCAATATCAGTAGCAGTTAAAACTCTGCTGCTACGTGCAAGCACAACCTAAAATTTCAAATTAAAATGATTAGTCAAAAGCCACAGGTAAGTAGTTTGGTAATGATGGGTGGTGAGGCTACATAAACAGTAACCACTCAAGGAACAATACCTTAATGAGTGGTGAGCTGCTTTTGTTTATCATCTGCAAAGCTCTCTTAACAGCAAGATCCCAATGCATCTTATTGGGAACGTGATTATTACTTAGGATGAATTCTCCAGAAGCTTCTTTCCTCAACTTTACAACAATTGAAGCGACCTTCATTATTGAAATCTAATTAATAGGAAATACAAGATAAACCTCTCTCAAAGCAATTATATACATATATATATATATATATATGCTAAGCAAAATCTGTTAAAAGGTTTGTGCACCTGGTGCATTGTAGCTTCAAGTGAATCAATTGCTTCATCCCATGTCCATGAAAGGGCATTATCCCATGCAACAGTTACAGCAAGAATCGAACTTCCTTCAAGCTCATCAAACTCAACCTGTCATTTGGTATCTAGCAGCAGGTTGTTTAAATACTAACGAGAAAAGCTGAATCATTCCCTACAACTACTTCATGAAATAAAACAAGCTCTCTACCTGAGGGACCGTAAAGTAAAATGAACCAAATGCCTCCCATTCACGTGATATGTTGGCCCTTGCATCAAAACGAATTGCCCCATATGCACGAATCAAAGGGCATTTTAAAGAGAGGAACCTTCAATTCAACAAGATAGAGAATTTATAATTCCAACATATAAAAATAAATCCGAAGAGCATCAAAATTAATATCTAAATTATAATAAAATTGTTAATCTTTTATTTGATATCTGAAGAAAAAATATTCATAATTAAGTACCAGAAATTTCATTCTGATAAGCCGATTGCATAGGAATTAATCAAATAAGTGACGTGCTCAAAAACACTTAATGAGGATGTACACGTGTTTATAAATGTAATGTAATTTTTTCTTTTCTCGTTTTAAATATTTTCTATCTTTAATTTTTGACTTAAACAAATTCAAAAAATAATAAAATTAAAAAGAAACATAGAACACCTAGAAAAATATTCAAAAATTCGAATAAAAAAAAGAGTAGAGGAAAACAGGGAGAGAGAGGGAAGGAGAGCAAGGGAGGGGAAAGGCCGGGTCGAAGGCGATCGGGCCGGCTGTCCTTTGCTGTTCCCCCTCCTTTCCCTTTCTTTCTTTTCTCTCCTCCAGATTTTTTTTTTATTTTTTAATTTCTAAATTAAAATTTTAGAATAAAATTTTAAAATAACATGATAAAATATTATTGTTTCACCTAATGATTTGTCTAAATTTTAGAAAAGAAAAAATAATATATTATTGTTTGTATTTAGACAAGCCAGACGTTTCACCTAATGATTAGTCGAAAGTGCAAATGACGGACGGGAACTTAATTAATTCGAGTACTTAGTTGCGACTCAAATCGGCAATTTCCTAATAAGTTAAATAAATATAATTTAAATTTAAAATAATTTACCTGGTAATGGACCTCCAATCATCATAAGAAAAGGGGTGAAGTTGTCGAAAGAAGACGGCGGAGCCAACACCAGCGACGCCAAGCAGATTCTGGCCGAAGGAGATGTGGCCATTTCCATTGGCCATGTCTACCAAGAGATTGGCACCGTTGGCTCTACTTCTTCTACCAGAGAAGAAACAACGAGGAAGAATCTGGCTTTGAGCATGGAGCCACTCGATTGCTTCAATTCGCTGCTGGATTGGTACCTTCGAACAACACACACATAATCAATTTTAGCTCTCGTTTTCTGTTCAAAAGTTAGTTGGGTTTTTTAGCTATTATTTGCCCGGGAAGGGATATTTACTATTACTAAAAAACTCTTGAGATTTTATACTATACTCTTGTCACTGAACTTTTCCGCGTTGATATTTTAGGCCCAATCATTTTTCGATTTACTTCCATCTTATAAATATCTTAAACATAATATTTCAAAAAATTTCTTAAACTATTTAAAAGAATTTATTTATAAAAACTTAATTTGATCAAATTTTTATATTTTTATTTTTAATTAAAAATATTTAAGGTTAATTATTATTAATTAAAATATTATTTATTATTTTTATATTATATTATGTTGTCGTAATATATTAATATGTGATAACATATGATGATATGATATGTTAATGTCGTATAATGATATAATCACATTTCATTTAAACGTTATATTAGTATAAAAATAATAAGTAATATTTTAATTAATTATAATTAATTAATTGTAAATCATAAAAATATATTTAATTTAAAATAAAAATAAAAAATTTCGATTAAATATAATTAAAAAATAAAAACTTATTTAAATATTTTTAAATAATTTAAAATTTCTTTAAAACATCACGCTAACATCATCCGTAAATCACTTGACTTGAATTTGAAAATTTTATACTAGAAAAACTCAATATCAAATCACTAGACAGAGAATTCATGAATTAAAAATGCAAATATAAAGCGAGAAAACTATATTCTTTAAAATTAAAAAAATCAGACTCATATATATTATTTTATTGAAATGATTTCTTTTGGACCTTGATTTTTGGCCTATATGTTAATGTTATTTGCCGTGGTGACCTTAAATTTTTTATACTTAACATTCAGACAAAATACTAGTCCTAATTACTAACAATTACTGAAATTTTGGTTTTGAATCACAGGCAATGCCCACATCTCTTGTTACTTTGCTCGTTTTAACAAAAAAAAAAAACCAAAAAAATTGGGAATTGCAGTGAGTGCAGGATAAGGAATAAGGAAGAATATGTTACAACCACACCCTGCGATACCAACCACGTGGCAACAACCCATTTCCCTATCATTGGATCATTACAGATAAGAAAAATCTTTTTGACACCATCGCGGATAGACTTTGTTGAAGACAGACACAGGACAGTGTTGTTGAACATTAACGTAACTCATGGCCAAGGAACTAACCTGGAGCCGAATTATGCCAGAGCTGAAGGGAGGTGGGCTGTATTTCAAATCTCTAATGGCAAGATTCAGCCTCTCCATGGCCAATGCAGGAGATGGAACTGCTGCTAGTGTACGTGTTTCAATGGTGCCTACAGGGAGTTTGGGGTCACCTTGGCACCCATTCATGGATAGTGTACAAACCTGAAATTTCTGTTTGCATTTCCGAAAAAGGTTAAAAAAAAATACCATGTCAAATATCAGCAGCTGGAAAAAGGAAAATCAACAGAACAGTGCAATAAGCATGAAGGATGGTGGAAAGCAAAAGAAAAATGAAAAAGGTTTTTACGTTGTTAAAAACTTGGATGGACTGCCTGCAAGAAGTATGATGGGAGTAAGAGAGAGTGCATTTGGTCGGTTCTGAGTCCACGAAACGTGCAAGGTAGTGCCTTCCTGCAGTAGTAGCAGCCATGTCTGCTGGAGGATGAGAGGGAAGGAGGGAAGGAGAAAGGAGAAAGAAGAAGGCGAAAGCTCTTAGTGCGACAAATAGGATTAGGTGCCTCAAAGGATTATTGTAAGGATATTCTATCATCTTTAACTTTTAATTATAATTATATATAAATTTATTAATTTGTAAAATAAATATTCTATCTCAAACAATCAAATGACGTTAATATTTAATTTTTTTATTTTTTTTATAAGTCAGTTGACAATATTTTTTACCTAACCGATTAACTTATCTGATTAAATTTCTTAAAAAGTATTAAATTCAATGCTCTCATGAATATCAAGATCGATACTCCCTAAGGGAGGGCCAGCACCAAAATGGTGCCTGCCAAAAGCATCACATTAGATGCTTTCAAAAAGCACCACGATCTAAAGATCTCGATCTGACTAAATTTGACACTTTTCAATTAAAGCCGATTACTATAAAGTGATCAGAGGTCAAAAATAAGAAATTTTTTTTGTAAACAAAATTATATGTTGATAATTTGTAAAATTAATAAAGAAAAATTATCCTTTCAATATTGCCACGTCATCAAATTACCAAAATATTAACGATTGCTTAATGATTGGGCCAATGTGTTGAGTGAAAGAGTTTTTTTTAAATGGAATATCGATTTTGAAATTAGATGCATACATTAAAATTTCAATTAAAAGTTAAAGGTTTTAGGTAGTTTACCTTTATTATAAATATTGAGAGAGAAAGCAAGCTAGAGCTGATAAGGTTTTAAATTTGAGGAAGCAATGGCTAAGAATATTATAAGAGGAAAGTTTTTGGACATTTTTATGATGCCGCTGCCAACGTAAGACTTGATAAACTTGTTTTTATTATTTATAATCTTCTCCAAACTCCATTATCGGGATCAATTATTGTAAGGATATTCTATCATCTTTAACTTTTAATTATAATTATACATAAATTTATTAATTTGTAAAATAAATATTTTATCTCAAACAATTAAATGACTTTAATATTTAATTTTTTATTTTTTTATAAGTCAGCTGACGATATTTCTTACTTGACCGATCAACCTATCTAATTAAATTTCTCAAAAAGTATTTGATCCGATGCTTTAATGGCCATCAAGATCAATGCTCCTTAGGAGAGGGTTAGCACCAAAATGGTGCTTGTCAAAAGCATCACATTAGATGATTTCAGAGAGCACCACGATCTAAGGATCTCAATCTAATCAAACCTAACAGTTTTCAACCAAATTCGATTACTCTAAGGTGATTAGAAGTCAAAAATAAGAAATTTTTTTTGTAAATAAAATTATATATTGGTAATTTTTAAAATTAATAAAGAGAAATTATTCTTTCAATATTGTCGTGTTATCAAATTAACAAAATATTAATGATTGATTAATGATTGGATCAATGTGTCGAGGAAAAGATTTTTTTTGAAACGAAATATCAATTTCGAAAATTGATATGCATCCGTTAAAATTTCGACTAAAAGTTAAGGGTTTTAGATATTTTACCTTTATTATAAATATTGAGAGAGAGAGAGAGAGCAAGCTTAAGCTAATAAGGTTTTAAATTTGAGGAACCAATGGCTAAGAATATAATAAGAAGAAAGTTTTTGGACATCTTTATGATGCCGCTGCCAACGTAAGACTTGATAAACTTGTTTTTATTTTATAACCTTCACCAAACTCCATTATTGGGATCGATTACGTTTTCACTTCCTAATCCTACATACCTGGCCTCATCATTTATACTAGTTTGGATACAAACTTGACTTTGACAAAAAAAAAAACCCTGTTAATCTAGTTTGGAACTTTGCACCACCCTTAACCATGTAGTGTAAGAAAGAGATTGTAGCAGACAGGAGAGAGAGGAAGCCTGACGTAGGAGCGTATGGGATTGTATTTCATTTAATTTAGTTTTTTCTAATTTTAGTTGATTTAGGATTTATTTTCTTTATTCTATTTAGATTATGATTCTTTTCTTATTTTTATTAGGAATTTAAGTTGTCATGTTCTATTAGGAATAGAACACCTATTTTATTCAAATCTCTTGTTAATTATTTTAATTGTATTAGATAACTAGAAGTAGAGTTTTATTAGGATGTGGGCCTATAATACTATAAATAGGACCCTTAAGCTTAGTTATGGATCATCCAAGTTGTGAGTTAATAAAAAATATTTTCTTAAACAAGAGTGCTTATTTCTCTAAGCTCTTTTTCAAGAGTAAGAGGCTTTCGTATCTTTGGCCTAGCCAACCAAAGTGGGATT